AGAATATCATTTCACACTAAAAAATAGTAATGCACATATGTAGTACAAGAGTTTAATTAAAAAATTAAAATTTCCACAATCTATAGCATTAGTGAATAATTGCGCTAAGGCCTCTAATAGCTTCCCTGCACTTTTACAGCCCTTTAATTTTTCTAGTAAGAATTACCAATTAGAGTTACCTTATTGATACAGTGAATGTTTTGCTGTTGATAATTTTGTACATCTTTACATTAAAACTTACTATAATTCCCTAGTTACAAAAAGTACTCATAGATCCCAACATCAATACTCTCAGAAGTAAGAGAACTCTACCCTAACTCTACATTACATGTACTGACAGCCACATAGATTCTATTTCTTCAGGGGCTTTTTATGTACATATGCACACATGTACTTTTTAACAATGAATTGACGTTAAGCTGGTGGCCTCTACATTTCAAGAAGGAGCCGTTTCTTTCAACTAAGTTAATTATTCAAGCAGATAAAGAAAAAAGACTGATCTTTTCCTCAAAACTGATGTGTATGATCTGAAATCTTTATGTTAATTTATGCAAAATCATAAAATATCATCACTTGATTATTTATAGGTAGGAGAAAAGAAATACCAGAATCTCCAAAAGACTTAGTGATTCTATCCTGTTTCTTTCTGTGAAATATTTCAAGCATTTTACAAAAGATTTTTAAGTTGACTGCAGAAAAAGAAAATAGGTTTAAAAAAAAAGGAAAAGAAAATAGTACAATAAAGCATAGATGAATATTCACAAATGGGTAGTAGGAAGAATATGAAAGTATCGCTGTAGTTCACAACAGTATCACTAAATGAGCTACAACATCTGATCAATTTATTGTCCAGCTAAGTTTCCACAGACCTAAAATTAAGAATAAATTAATGAGGACTACTAAGGGGGAGAAAGGAAAAGTCACTGACTGTAGAAAGAAAATTATCACTTCCAGACCAAACACCTCTGAGTGGGAGACCTACTGTGAGGAATAACAAATGTGCTCATCAGTTATGGCCACCCTTAAACAGCAAAAGGAAGGAGAGAAGAAATGAAGTAAAAAAGCTAAATTTTTCTTTAGGGAAAAAAGAATAAAATTAATCTCATTAAATCTAAAAAAATAAAAACTTAGTAACATAAATCTACTTTGAATCTTTGCTATGGCTAAAAACAATTAATTGGGAGCAAGTAATGAATAGCAAACTAGGACTCAACTTCTAGAAATATAGACTCAATAAATAGTTACTTTCAGCAAAACTAGCTTAAAATGTATTAATGGAAAAAACAGAATGAAGATAGCCATCATATGAGAACCAAAAGAATAAAAATATGATTATGTCAAGTATCTCCAAGAAAAGAAAGACATAAATTAGGTACTGATGGTATTTCAATCTTTTAGGGAAAAATCAGTTAACTTTAGAGAATGAGAATATAGTAAAGAACCTCTTAAGTAAACATATGAACCATTAGCAATGTTACACTGTAAAATATGAAATAATAAATTATCTAGAAAATGATAGTTTTTCTAAAATTAAAGACCTATGGCCCAAAACATGACGACTATTAGGTTTTTCTGTTGTTCTATTTATCGGGGTTTTTTTGTTTTTTTTTTTAAGGGGGCTAGAGGGGTATCATTGAAGGCATGACAGAAAAATTTTAAAAGACCAAAACCAAAAGCAGCTCATGAAAAACAATGTATGCTTCAATGATGAAGGCTACTGTTTGGATAATATAATATTCTAGCATATTTTGACATTTTAGGGAAACAGCAACAAATTAGGCTTCTAATGATAAGTTTATTAACAGCTACTCACAAATTGAAAAATAAGAAAAAATTTATGAAATTAATTCTAATGTGTCCTATGCTCCTGTTTTCTCCTAAATGTAGTTGAGAACCTTTCTATATACAGTCACATAAGTCCTCTATAAAATAGACTCCAGGAAGCCAATAAGTTCTAAATTACATCATAGCAGTTATCACACAATTTTGACCTAACATTTGGCAACAAAACTAATCAAATGATTATTAAACAGAGATATTTATATTAATCTATACACATATATATAAATGTATGCAGGAAATTCAGTGTGAATTCATATATAATTTAAAGTGTCTTTCCTGATTTTACATGTAACTAAAATAATAAACAATATACATGTATCCAACAGAGATTTAAATTTGATAAATACTGGACATAATTTAGTCAAATTTAAAGTAACAAATTGGGAAAGAACAAAAATATGCATAAAAATCCATTTTACACATAAAAAATTCTTAGCAAACATGTAAATAAGGGCACCTATTTCCAAAGCGTAATACAACAAAGCGTTACACAAGAAAAGTAATTCCAATCCATTCACTTTTATTGTAGTTCAGTGTAATTATTAAATTAAAATTTTACTTTGGAGACAGCCAGTTTTAAGCAAATTCAAAATATTTTTCCACCTGCAAAATTTATATGACTATGACTGATCTTTTAGTTAGTTATGTATTTTCTTCAAAATAGCTTATGTCTTTATACAGAATTTGGATCACGTACCCATGCCTCTGTTTGAATGGGCTTGATATTGCTTAGTAGCACCTCTTCATAGTTTCCATAATCAATGAATTTAACAACTGCTGTCATACCCGAAGAATGAAGAGCTTCAACTTCTGCTCGGTAAAACTGAGAAGGCAAAAAAGTATTTTAAATTTAACAAACAATATTCTCTAAGAAGGGCAATATTTAATGGAAATGTAAATCCTAAAAGTGTTACAATGTGAAATATTTTTAAGAAAGAAAACTTACCTTTGGATAACCCTCTAACATTGTTGGGAAGACAACTCTTATATACTAATCAGAATATATAAATATGAAGTTATTTATTTTAAAAATACAAATATATCACAAAAATAAATATCAAAGAAGAAGAAGGCTCACTGCTTCAGTCATTACAAGTGGCTGGAGTGAGGTAGGGATGTCAGGTAAGGAGTAAGGACATTACTTAGATCTAGGATTTATAGGATTTGAGACACTCCAAGCCTAGAAATTTTTATCAGTTTACCCAGTGTCACTTGGCTCTGAGAACTGATGTATATAAACAAACTCACAAGAAACTGATTTACACAATAACTGCAATTTTAAAATTTACCTGGGAGGAGGTCATCTAATTGGAAGAGCCCACTAATATAGGCCAACCTATTCAGGACCCAAATTATAGGTTTGAATGTTGCTTACTGAACAAGAAATGGAAACAGAAAACAATTTGCTCTTAAGGAATATTTTCCTCAAGCTAGGGTAGTTGGATGCTCTATTATAACACTGTCTATTCTAACAGTATCTCTTAATAGATTCACCAGAATCGGAAAATCCTAAAGGCAGCAAAAATTCGTATTCTCCAAATTCTTCTGAAAAAGGGGGTACCCCACAGTACACCAGGAAAGAGTTGATTTTTAACTAGTATATTAACTAGTATATTTAACTAGTATACTTAACTCATAACTTGTGTATTTCATATTACAAAGAAATTAAGTGAATCCAAGGTGTTTCCTTCCCGGGTCTGGATGCTAGCAAGTTTAGAGAGACTGTGCTGGAATTTTCCTTATCTTAGGATTCTTGGTAAACATTCCTCTCTCTCCTCTCTGCCTTTACTTCTTAGACTCATACTTTTGTGTTCTGTGGATTGTTTTGAGTATTTCTGGACATATGCTTCAACTGTAAGCTTCTCAAATTATGTCAGTTTTGGTAAATTCAACAAACACTGAGTCATGCTATATGCCAGGAAAACAAACAAGGTGATGCCCTTGTAAGAATTTATAGTTTAATCTTTGTCCCTTGGGATGCTGTGGGATTACCAAAGGAAAACAGTATCTCACTTATCTGCCTTACATCTTCAGCTCTCCAAAATATAGTCTGACAGTGAATTTTTTTAAAGCCACACTTAAGAAACCCTGCCCCCAAATAAAGACATGTATATAATTCCTTTTTAAAAAACACAAACAAAAAAAACCCTCACTGTTTAATAAAGACAATCCATTTAAAAAATAACTTCTAGGTAATGTGGAATGTAAATGTAATAAAGCTGTAGTGATATGGCAATTAAGCTGAGGAGCTCAGGAAGAGCTTCCTGGAGTGGATGACAATGGATTCAAGGATAAAGAGGGGCTAGCCAAGTAAAGAGCTGAGAAAGGTGTTCCAGGGAAGTTACACAGATATAAAACATGAAGATGAGTGTAGAAAACTAAAAGCTGTTTGAAATTAATTATGGTATAATATGAGAAGAAGGTTCATCCAACAGGAAATTAGACTGGATAAGTAAATAAGGGACAGATGATGGAGAGCAGAAGCATGCTAGAGTCTGTATTTATTCTACAGGCAAAAGATTTTAACTAGGAGGAATGACATGATCTAAGATTAGGATCATAGTCACAGCAGTATTGAAGACAAATTTCAGAGAAATCAGGTTTAAGGCAAGGAAAACAATTTGGAGGTTGTTACAATATTCCAGTTGAGAGGGGAAAAAGAGCTGAACTAGTTTTGGCACTCTAGAGGAAAAAGGAGAACTGCCCCCAAATTCTTAAATCCTTCTATGGAAATAAAGCTAGACAGAAGGCAAGTATTATGAGGAATTTTTTAAACAACAGATTATACTATTTGATTAATTATCTCCAAAACAACATTACAATAAAATTAAGAGGACTAATTCCTTTTCTTAAATCTTTACCCTGGTCTCGCACAAGAAAACTGGGAAGTTGCCTATTCTTGACGAAACATTTAAATGTTACCTCTTAAGTTAGGTGGCTTCAGAAGATAACTAATTCCATGTCTTTCACAAGGTAAATATTGTTTACCTTATTCCCAAAGCTTAATGGTGTAATCTATTTAGAAGCCAGTCCCTCACACTAAACTGGAAGTATACATCCAATTTAAGTCAAAGTAGTCACCTTAGAAGATCACCCAATTACTCTAAAAATATCTAACAGCTGAAACATTTTGGGAATTGTTAGGTACTGTCTTTTAGATGCTATACGACATTATTTTTAATATATTCAACAGAGGCAATAGATGAATTCAGCATTACAAAAATATCTAACAGCTGAAACATTTTGGGAATTGTTAGGTACTGTCTTTTAGATGCTATACAACATTATTTTTAATATATTCAACAGAGGCAATAGATGAATTCAGCATTACTGGTTTTTAGAGACAATTAAAATTAAGATTAAAGCTTTATTAATAATCTTATCAGGAATTTGGAAGCATCTGGGTAATAGCACAGCTAGAACTATCTGATATATCCCAACCACCTGGCACTTGGCTACTCAATTATGGTTGATTGAATACTCAATTAATATTTGTCGAACGAACTTGTCTGCTAAGTCCAATTATTTGAATACCTGCAGATCTGTTCTCTGTTGCTTCATTTGTTTCTGGCCAAGCATTCATATTTATTCATATTCACTCATTCTCTCCCTCCCTCTCTCTCTCTCTTTTTAACCATGGCTCATAATTTTTATAAGATGCCAGACACTGCAGATGAAATATTGAAGAGATTCTAGAAAATGTTATTTTTCTCAAAAAAAAGTATTATATTTTCTTTGGGCAGGCAGACAGAGTAAAAGCAGATATCCTTGATCCTGTAGAGGTTGGTTTTAGCTTTGTAAAGGGCTGTCTGTTTTAGCTTTGCCTTTACTACTTAGGGCATGATCTTTGTGGGATTTCAATGGAAAGGTCATTTACCAAGCCTCTCAAACATTACTGAGCTTGAACTCCAATGTCTTATTTCTCCTGCTCTTGTCAAAGTCACCAACAACCCCACACTGTCCAATACAGAAAATACTTTTCCATCCTTAATGCAACCTCTCACAGAAACATACAACCAGAGGCCATTCCCTCTAAGGTAGACACTGTTAGCTCAATAAACACTAATTTCCAACTATTTCACTTTTTCTTGTCTGTATCAAGAAGGAGAAACAGCTAAATATAAGGAATCCCCCACTACCCAAATCAAATAATAGTTTCTGAATTTTGGAAAGTAACTGGTCTGAGTTGAGAGAGTAAGAGCCTGGATACTGAAGAACACCTGCATCTGCTTTCCAAGCCTCAGCCTCCCCAATAGCCAGAGAGTGGCCATGTGAAATAGTTCCAACCAATGAGATTTAATTAAAAGTCTGTTGGTATTCCAGGCAAGGCATACAAGTAGTGCTGTCTCCTCCCCTCCTTCTGGTCTTGAATAAAGACTTGACAGCTATGGATCCTGCTCTTAAGCAAATATCCCACATTCATACAAAAACCTTAAAGGCCTATGTCATCTGATATACCACCCTGTACACTCCTTGCTGTTATTATCAGGTAATGCCTAACACCCTGCTTATACCTCAGCATTCACTGAAAACAACGGGGCCTGGTTCCTGATCCCAAGTCTTATTGCATCTTTATAAAAGATCCACCCAAATTCTCTAGTCTGAATCTCAGTTTCTTGAAATCTTCAGTTACCTTTATTTCTGCCACTCCCTTTAGCCATACTCTCTCATGGGCACACCCTTACCTTATCAACTATAACTACTCTATGAAATATTTATTTCAAATATTTTTTCCTTGACTTGATCCTCACATTCACCCGATCTTTCACTCTGTAACTCCCTTACATCTATTTTTATCATTTTGCTAATATCTCCAGTCCCCTCACCACTCTATTTTCCCATGAAAATGCCCCCTCCAGAATTAACTAATTAACAGAGTCAACAAATAATTATAAAATCCCTACACTGTGGGAGTAAGCAGGACTACAGACGAAAACCAGACAGACATGGTCCTGCATTCAAGGAAGTTGATATCATGGTAGGGGGAAAAGATCCCAATCCAGAAACCAAAACCAAAAATATTTACAAATTGTGGTAAGTTTTAAAAAGTGAACAAGGCACTAATAGAGAAACAGAATAATGTAGAAGAGAGGAGAGGGCAGGTCAAAAAAGGCTTCTTCTTGGAGGTGATATTTGAGCCAAGCCCTTAAAGTGGTAGAAGAGCATGTTGGACAGAAGGCAAAACATGTACAAAAGCCCTTCTCTCTGAGGGTCCCTCTGTCCTCTTCACCTTACTATTCTCACTGTACTGGTTGTCTACCTCTCAGCCAGGCTCTTACTTGGTCCACATCTTCTGGTCTTTTCCTTTCCCCCATGATTTCTCTTTTTCCCTTTTAGTAAGCATATAATGTAGAACTAAAGAGCGTTTAAAGTACCGATTTAATAATTATTTATTAATTATAAGGTAAGTAATTAACTTATATGCTCTTAATTCTTTAAAAAAGTAGGCTAAATGTGTATATTTTCTTTAAATGAAAATCTGCAGAATTTGATTTTGTGCCACTCAACTGACTTTCTTCCTTGTGAATCAGTACAATTTTACTATAAAGAAAAGTAAATACTTATAATTTGGCTAATGATAAGTGAAATAAAGTTCATCTTCACTTAATCACTTTTACAATATTTTTCTGATACGTAAGCTAAAACTAAATAAACCTAACCTAACCAAATCTTATGGGATAGATTCTAAGCATCCATAAAAAAAATTAAATGTTTTATTTTTCTTCTCTCGCATAAATTATATATCTATCAATCTGTTTAAAAAAACTTTAAAACAGGTACAATTGTGGAACAAAACTCACAGTCCAAAATGATGACTTTCTAGAAGTCTCACTACAATGTGACATTTAGTAATATTAATATATAACATCTTTATAGAATCCATACCTTGTTGTCTTCCCAATAAAGTGCAAAACATTCATCTCCAGGTTTCCACATTTTTGCATACTCCATAGGAATAGATGCTTCTGGTACTTTTTCTGGTTTAATTGGTCCAGATCTTCTTTTGGGCCCACTATTGTAAAATACTTTATCATCATAGGGCACGGCTGTAATGTGTCCTGCTGGCTTAATAGGTCCTACTCGTCTTCCTTTCATTTGCATTTCTGTCTCTCCATTTGGAACACCAGTGAAGCTATTACTTCGGACAGGATTCTGGTAATCGGTATTTACATTAAAATATTTTTCAATTTTTACACCACTGAAAGCTTCATTATTTATTGTTCGTGATTTCCTGTCATAAAAATGGTCAGGATTAGCTGTTTGGTTTTCTCTTTTCCCACGTTTTTGATTATTATAATCTAATGATTCTTGAGAAAGTGGATTTTCTTTTGCCTCTGTATACAATGGACCTCTTCCTGATCTGCTTTGCATAGAGTTATCTCTTTTTTTAAAAGTACCATCACTGTGCTGAGAACTTAAAGGATATGAAGTATCTTTAGTTCTGTCATATCTAGAATATGGTCTATCACACTTGATTCTTTCTTCAGCCCATACTTCAGATCCTGAAGAAGTACTTGGTCTCTCAGAAACTGTATTTCTAGGTAATCCACTGCCTTCTAAAACTGACTTTGAATTTTGGGTGTCTCTCTGAAAACGAGGAGGTTTTTCATTTCTTGGTTGCCTGGTATCATTTCGGGGAAGATGTCTTGGTTGATGATTATCTTTTACTCCATTTTGTTCAGTATTTGACAATCTCTGTTGTCCTTGATGAAACTGCTGCAGCTGTGACTTAGGTTCTGAAAGATAAAAGTATATCATATACACAATAAAATGAAGACTCTGAATGTATAATTATCTTAAAATTCCTAAAAGCTATTACATCAATACAAAATTACCAGACTACTATTTTAACATCTTCCTACTTCATTATCTTAATCCCTCTCTGCTTCCTTAGAGTCTTGTATTTCTAATCTAGTTTTAGCCACATTAGTGAAGTAAAGCAATGATATGAACCATGAAAAAACAGAGGATAATCAAAAGTCATTTGTCTGTGTCACTGAATGCTTGCATTCTTATAATAGAGATATCTATATGTGTTATTTTGGTAATTCATTTCCCAAAATATTAATGAAACAGAACTGCAAATTGCTAACTCAGAAACTGCTATGAAACTGTGCAAATACAACTCTTGTTCCACTCCTCTTGGAATCCCACTCTAATTTAGAAGTGTATAGCTATTATAGTCATTCAACTTTTTGTATTACAAACAGATATACTAATACAGAGAAGAGTTAATAATTTTCCTGATCTAGCAAAGTAATTAGGAAAGACAGGTACTACTTGGAAATACAGAAAAAAGTGTCAAAAATGTTACTAAACATATAGTGTAAATAATGTCCTACTTGAAACCAAAAGAAGTAACATGGTATATATTCACAGCAGATAATTTTTAATGACTATATTTCACACAGTGATTTTTATTCCATTTTTTTGTGCCATGTCATTTACACATTTTCCCCCATTGTTTCACACAGCATGTCTATAACACCCCCAAAACATATTGATTGGTCTTTTGTGTACACATCTTGTTTCTCTTGTCATACATGATAATCAGCATACAGGTCATAATTACTCTTATATTTCCCTACGGTCACAATATTTCCAAAGAGGGGCACTATTGACATTTTGGGTGAGACTGTTACTTGCATTGAAAGAAAATTAACCTCACTGGACTGCAGACACTAAATGCCAAAAGCACCCTCCCCCAGCATCTCCAGTCACTGAGACTACCAAAACTGTCTCCATATGTTTCCGAATACCCACCGGAGACAAAAAGGTATCAGGTAAATTGTTTAAAACTACAGGAATAAAAATAGATCTTTAAAGGTTCTTGAGTGACAAAACAGGTCACAGACTAACATCAAGTCTCAAGAAGGCAAGAAAATCTTCTTAAGAAACCCACTAGAATTTAGAAGTCAATCTAATAGGCTTTAAATACCTTTAAGAGTAAGGAAAAATTATTTTCTAAGTAAAATTCTGTATCCAGTGAAACCACCCATTAATTGTGACAAAGAATAGATTTTTCAAATATGCAAGATTTCAAACACTAGCCAAAACCATTTAAAGAGAAATCTTTTAAAAAATCACTTTTCCCAAGAATATTTATATGCCTTATAAACATAACACGAATGTCTTATTTTAACAATTGTAGTCAATACTAAATTTTTCTTTAGAGAGAAGAAAAATGGTCACCTTTAGTTTCTACTGGCATTGTTTACTGCCCAAGAGTAAAGATTCAGGGAAGCAAGAACAGAAGAAACCATAAGCAGGACAGAAATGAGCATTTGCAGCAGAAAGCATGTATTGGTATTTGCTCCAGAAATCATTAGAAAATAAAACCAGCACTTGCCTCTTTTTGATTATCTGCTATGTATTAGGTACCCCACACTAGCACCTTATGCACATTATCAATAGTCCCCACAGTAATTTTATGATATAGATGTCATGAGGCTTATTTAACAGACAAGGTCCCTTGTATACTAAATTGAAGAAGTTTTTCAGTTCCCAAAACAAATCAAATAGAAAGCTATTTTATTTGCTGTCAGCTAGGTTTGAATAGATGTTTGGGGAGTAAGCTTTTCAGATCTGTGTTTAGGAACTTATTTTCTTAAATTATTCCAGTTGAACCACCAATATCTCTGATGGTCAGGAGATATAACTAAATTAGGTCATCATGACAGTAACTAAGTGTCCCAGACTATAGATGGACTATATAGAATAAAGGTTCAACTAAGCTTTGTAGATGTGGGATTTGATTCTAAAAGGAGATATAACTAAATTAGGTCATCATGACAGTAACTAAGTGTCCCAGACTATAGATGGACTATACAGAATAAAGGTTCAACTAAGCTTTGTAGATGTGGGATTTGATTCTAAAAGGGTTCATAGAATTTTTTATTGTCTCAAACCCCCTTTAAAGAAAAAAGTCAATTTAAAGCAAAAGATGATTGCTGCTATAAATGAAAAAATCATGAGAACTCTGAGAAACAGTGTAACACACACCAACAACACAACTGCAAAGATGCCCCTGTTCAAGCATACTCAAAATGCATGCAAAGTCCTTACAAATACCATCGCCACTGCCCAAAAGTCTAGTTCAGTAAAATGCCTCATACAGTTAAAAAACCAAATGAGCATAGCTCAGGGTACAGTTATAATAATATCCTGATTTTATAGATAAGGAAGCTGAAGAGGCTTGACCAAGGCATAGAACAGGGTGGAGCTGGGACTATCCATGCAACAGATTCCAGATCCAACTTTTAACCTCCCTGCTATACCTTCTCAACAAAGTTACCATTATGCTACTAGTGTTAAATCATTTAATAACCATGAGTTTTTTCAGTATTTCCTCAAGGTACTCAGGTTAGGATTACCATAAAAATATAGGATTACCCATAAAAGCACTGCTTGGGCAAATTAATCCATTAAATGAGAATACATCTGTTTGAGTAACTTAGCTGATTCTCCTCCTTGTCCTTCCCTACAAACAAATTGCAGGAATATGGTTACATTACAAATTTCATACCTAAAACATGCTAGTTCAACTGGATAAATTTTAATTTCTCTGCCACCTCTACAAACATTCTGTATGTCCTCTTCAGAGGGCTTTTCTAGCCACAGTTTTGCCTTTTCTTCATCAGTTACTAACAGTCACCCTAAAACAGAGTTTTGTTTTCTGGTGAAAGTGATGTCTTGTTCTGAGCATTTTCAATTTATTATGATCACACATACATCCATGCCTGAATAGAACCTGAACACGTCCCAGGCATCTTCCCTTTGCCTCCTCCTCAGGTTTCAGCTTAGATTTCACTTTTTCTGGGAGGTCCTTCTTCCCCGAATCCCATCGACACCGAGTCAGACACCCTTCCTATATGCCACAGTAACCTGCACGGCAGCAGCATGGAACAGACTCCCTTCCTAGACTTTAAGATCCTAACCTATGTTTTGTTTACTAATACATCTCCTCTTACACAGTGCCTGGCACTTAGTAAGTCTCAAATTAATATTGTGGTATAAGTAAGTGACCACTACTCTCCAGTAACTCCCAACATGAATATACATGGCTTTTCTAAAGAAAAACAATTTTAAAAATAAAGCTTACTTGTAATTATTGTCACTCATACCGCCATGGAGGTAAAATCTCTTATAATCCTTATTCTCTGTGTTTTCCTAACCACTTCAAGAGAAAAATATTATCTGTGTCACCTCTCTATAGGTATAATGATTTTTTTCTCCTATCAGGGAGATTTAAAGCAGGAGATGAGGAAATTGGGCATGGTGACACTGCTTTGTGGAGCCTATCATGTTCTTTGTAGCAGCTACATCTTACCTGAGTTATTACAGCTCTTAATCCTGAATGCTCTAAAATCCTAAAATATAAAGGACCACTCCTTATTTCTTTCCTTCCAACCTACCCTAATATATAAGTAAGCACTGCCAGTCACACTTCTCTGTTTCTTGTAAAACTCTTCTCAAGTTGGATCATTTTCATCTTTCTAAAACATCTTGGACATAAAATAACACAAGAATTGTTTAACCAAAGATAACACTGCAGTCTTACTATCATTCCCACACTACTCACTATCATTAATGCCTTCTGCTCAACTGCACCGTGGTGGACTTGGTTAAGTCAGGTAAGGTTCCCTTGTTGATAAATGGGGCATTTGCAGATGAGGCACTAGACTTGTGGGTCAAAAACCATTTAAAAACTATATGTTATTTTTATGTTATTTTTCCTTGAATTCAAATATTAATGTTTATTGAAGAAAATATACTGGAAAATTAGTAACAAAATATATAGCATTGTCATTTGTTATCAAACTTGTAAAAACTGAAGGAATGATCATGTGTGAGAAAAACTAAAACTGTCATATAGGAGGCATCAGTCCATCAAGTGCAAAAAACTAAATTTAATTTATTTGATCTTTTCTTCCAAGTTGATTAACATTTTCCAGGATTATGAATATGATAACTTTAGATTCAATATTATCTGTGCAACACATGTTCTTATAAATTTCGCATTAAAATTTAGCAAAACAAAAATGAAAACTCTTACAATTTTGAAGCCAAAACATGCTAGTGAAATTTCAAGCCACTTTAAGGGGCATGAAAATGAAAATAAAGAGCACTGCTAAAAAGAAAAGCCAAAGGAATGTCCACCTATGGGCTAGAATACTATTCTTAAAAAGTCATAGTACTACGATACAAAGGTTACCCACTGATGTAAAAGCTGATTCAAGGAGAATAGCCAAAATAACAGCTGAATAATCCTTCAATAGGTAAAGCGCAGCAAAACACATTAAATATATTTGCTATGAAAAAATGGTATAACTGATTAGTACATGAATTCACATTATAGCAGAAGCATAACACTTTCTAATATTCCTATGCCTGTTATACATAATTTTTTTTCACCTCAAAATTCTCACCTAATTTTCTCAATTATACAAATCAGTCCTTTTTGTGGAAAATATCTTAAGACACTGAAGATATTCTGTAATGATCACAAAACTCTTTGGCTATAAAAATTTGTCAGCTCAAAATTTAAATACAGTGTTTCTCTATAAAATATTATTTTCTCTATAAATTTATTCTGTATAAATTCTGACTTAGATTACAAAGCATAAACCAAAGACTATTTCTCATTCCTAGAAGGTACACATAAACAAAAGGACTTATTAAATGATTATGTTTTCCATTTGTTATAAAAATAAAGTAAAAGCTTTTAAAAATATTTTGGAGTAGGAAAGAAGAGAAATAACCCATCACCCCAAACCCATAGCATAAAATTTACACGCTACATTAAGTATGTTCATTTATACCACTCTCCTCAAAATAATCATTTTAATGTTTATATAGCATTTCATCTATTGGATATCCTCCAGCTTTTCTTCTAACCTCACCACTTCACTGACACTACCTTTGTCAAAGTCTCTAATCAGTGTTGTGCTGGACCCAGCTTGAACATTTTACAAGCATGTATTATTAAATTTTCAGAAAATGTGCAAGCTGACTTTTAAGCTGTAGTCAGCCAGAAATCAGCCATAGTGGGGGTATTTACACCACAGAAATCAGCTTAAAAAGCTAAAAATCTGGGCATCCTCCCTCCCGCCACTTCTACTCCCAGAACCAGCTGTTAAGCATTCACCAGCATGCTATCAATGTTATATAAACCCACTGAGCACTTTCCATCCCTACTGCTCAGCGTTCTCTTCACACTCCTCCTACCTCTTTGGCAGGTGCTTTCTTGGTCTCCTTTGCTGGCTCCTCTACCTCTACTTGATCTCTAAATTCAACTGCCTGCTTGATACCACTCCTTGGTTTTTGAAACTTAACATATCTTAAAACTGAACTCATGATTGTTCTTTCCTCCCAAAATTTATAGGTGCTTAGAAATGCAACATAATAGAAAGAGTTCTGAGCTAGGGAAAAGATAGACATTGGTCTAAATCTCTTTTCTTTAGTTCTTATGGATAAGATGTTTTCTTCTTATCTGTCAAATGGAAATAACAACATATATTTTACATTTGCAGATGATTAAATGAATAGAATGCAAAGCACCCAGCAGTCCCTGGCACATAACATATGCTCCATAAATGGCATCTATTATTTTATTTTATTGTTAATAAATGTTTAAATGAATGGACAATTAATTGAGGAGAAGAAAACTAGAATAATGGCAAAAATGAAAAAGAGGCTAGTGTGTTCTAGCATTCTGAGAAAAATTACAACCATCTTCTACAGATCTAAGTACCCAAGAAAATGAATTATATATCACATGCCATGAAATAAAACAAACTAAGTTAAAATGCTGTAGATTTAACATACAGTCCCTACAGCAGAGGTAATCTTCAAATTACTAATACACAATTATATTAGATATAACATCTACCCAGAAAATTTCAAAAATTCAGAGCAAAGTATATTTGGACCATTTGAATTTATGAGTGTCTCTAATAACATTCTAATGAAACTGGGATAAAAGGAACTTGCAGAATTCACATAGCCTAATTCATGGCATTTTATATAAACTAATTCTGAAAAACTAAGCCCTTTGCATTTGTCATCCCCTAGTAAACTCTGGAGATGTCTGTAGCTTAGTACTGGATACATTACTAGTCTAAGAAAATAACCACATATATAATACACTCAGAATAATTTAAGCTTCCTAAAAGATGCAGTCTAGAAATCACACATACCTAGCCAATTAAGTATGACAGTAAAATCATTAACTACCTTTTTAAATGTAATGACAAAGTTTAAATATAATAGTGACTTGTGAAGCAACACATCAACAGCAGGACAAGGTTTTTTCATTTTCTTACAAAGTACCCAGTTCCGAGTATTTTGTTACAAGCAACAGAAACAGACTAATACAGAAAATTGGTGCCAGAGAAGTGGGGTGTTGCTTGTAACAAATACCTGAGAATGTTGAAGTGGCTTTGGAACTGGGTGTTGAGGAGAGTCTGGAAGAATTTGAAGGAGCAGGCTAGAAAAAGTATAGCTGCTAGTGCGAGTTTAGAAGACAAGAAAACCAGGGAAAGTTTGGAACTTCTTAGAGACTGGTTAAATAGCGGTGAGCAGAATGCTGACAGAAGTATGGACAGTAATGGCTATTCTGAGAAGATCTCAGACAGAAATAAGAAGGAGCTTTTTGGAAACTGAGGCAAAGATCACACTTGCTATGAACTGGCTGCCTTCTGTTCATGCCTAAAACTTTTATGGGATGTGGAACTTCAATGTGCTCACCCAGGGTATTGGGTGGAAGAAATTTCTAAGCAGCAAAGCATTAAGGAAGCTACATGGCTACTTGCAATAGCCTATGCTGAGTTATGACAGAAAAGGCATGATGTAAGCTAGAATATATAATTAAAAGGGAAGCAGAGTGTAAAGATTTGGAAAATTTACAGCCTGGCAATGTGGTAGAGCAGCAGAGAGCATCTTCAGGAGAAATATGCAATGGTGCAGCCCAGTGTTCCATTTGCTAAGGAGATTAGTAGAGAAGAAAGGAATTATCAAGAGAAGGGAAAAAAAACCTTGAAGGTATTTCAGAGGCTGCCTCTTCCATTATAGGCCCAGAAACCTAAGGAGACAGAATGGTCTCAGGGAATAGGCCTCAAGTGTCCTCCATGCCCAGGACTACCTTCAGAAGCTGCTTTCTGCACCAGCACCCCGGCTACTTTGGCTTCTCCAGCCATGCTTAAATTGGCACCAGGTGTGGCCGGACCTGCAGTTTTGAAAGATACAAGCTAGAAGCCTCCGCAACATACACGTGGTCTTATGTCTGCAGGCTCGAAGAATGCTTGGAAGCCTCCACCCTGATTTCAAAGGTGTATTTAAAAACCTGTGGGCCCAGCAAGAGATCTGTCACAGAGGCGGATTCACCACATAGAGTCTTCACCAGAGCAATGCCAAGAGGAAATGTGGGGTCAGAGCTGCAGCAGAGAAACCTCACCAATGCCATGTCTAGTGGAGCCGTGGGGACGGGATCGCCATGGAGACCCCAGAACTGTAGAGCTACCAGCATATGACACCAGCCTGCGAGAGCTAAAGCATCACCTAAGTCCAGAAAAACCATAGAAGAGCTGCCTGAGGACTCGGAGGCCTGGTTTCCAAACCAGCTTGCAGAGAACATCAAACATGGAGTCAAGGTATATGATTCGCCAGCTCTGAGATTTAATGTCTGACCTGCTGGGTTTCGGACTTGAGACCTAGCACACCTTTCTTTCGGCCTATTTCTCCCTTTTTGAATGAAGCCACTGAATCTTAATCCCCACTGTAACTGCTGAGGGTGGGAAATCCTATTATGGTAATTGAAAGATAGGGCCTTGTAGAGGTGATTAGATTGTGAGGACTGTACCCTCATGAATGGATTAATAATGGTGGTCATGGGCGTGATTCTGAGGGCTTTAAAAGGAGAGTACATGAGAGTCTCTCTCCCTGCTCTGCATTCTGCCATGGGAGACTCCTGGGTCACTGTCACTACCAAGGCATTCACCAGATGTGTTCCCTGGACTTTGGACTTCCCAACCTACAAAACTGTAAGCAATAAATTTCATTTTCTTACAAAGTACCCAGTTCCAAGTATTCTGTTATAAGCAACAGAAACAGACTAATACAACCAGACATTAAGTAGCACTGCATAGACTATTCACTGTTAAGGGTAACAAGTTGTTTACAAACACAGTTGGAAACAATTCAAGTTAAGCTTAAAGTAATTTGCACTTAAAGAATAGAATGGGAGAAAGGAATAGGCCTTATAAGAAGAAAAAGTCAAGGGCTGTGAAGGCCATAGAGTTGGGTAGACATAGAGAGAAAGTGACAGCTACCCATTCCTTCTTTCTGCTGTGTTGACAGCTTATAACTTTACTCACATAGCAACCACTTATCTCTGGCTTCCAGACAGGCACTCTACCATCAATTTCAATCAATGCAGAGTAATGCTGTTTGTGGCAATTCGATGTAAATATACACAATAGTCCATACATGGGTAAACCTTTCTTGAGGAAACCCTTCACAAGAACATCTAGACTAACACATAGATATTCTCTCTTCTTGACCTAGTTTCCTGCCTCCTAATTAGGCTATTATCATTGTATCACACGTCCTTTGTACAGTCCCTATTCCTCAGTCTTCAAAATTCATGCTGTAAATCTATAAGCCAAACTACTTAAACTTCAAACTTGATTAAAAAAAAATAAAAGTAAAAAACACACTTGTACCAACTATCAAAGACCTGTAACTTGATGTGAAGTACGCATCACCCATTAATATTATCTTTACATCCACTAACATCTAAATATATAATTTGCATCTGGATATTATGTAGCATTTGAAATTATGTAGTCCTGTTAACCAAGATAAAATGCTACTTATCACAAAATCCACAGAAAATAGAATAATGGAACACCATGAAAACAGTAATATGTAGTGTAGTCTGGATTTTATCCTGTCAATGAGAAGACTCAATGGAGCATTTTAAGCAAGGGGGTAGTGAGATCAAATATGCATTTTAAAAGATCACTGACTACAATATGGAGGAAGGTATGATAACATTCTTCAAAGAACCGTGGAGGGTTGATGAGGACCTAAGGTAGGACAGTGGGGTTGGAGATAAGAGACTATGAGTGAAAGATGCGGTTGCCACTGCTGCTGTTGCTCATCATGATGGTGGTGGTGGTGGTGGTGGTGACGGTGGTGGTGGTGGTGGTGGTGGTGGTGGTGATGATGATGATGATGATGATGATGATGGTGGCATGAACTACCATATATGTGGAGGTCTATGTGTCAAGCACTATGCTTACCACTTTATATGCATCATCTAACTGGATCTCCCCAACAACTCTATAACCCTATGATAGGTGCTGTTATTATTTCCTCATTTTCTAATGAAGAAATTAAGGCTTATGATTTATATAACTCGCCCAAAGACATACAACTAGTACACATGAGAGTTATGAGTTTAGTGGTGGAATCAGTTTTATTTATCTCCAGCACCATCCCCTTCTTTTGGTAACAGAATCCTGCACTAAAGGACAGTGGTGTGAACTACTTTTTCCCCTTTATATATAATCGTGATGGAATCAATCAAGATGTCCTGTGCTCTCCTGTCTAAGAAGGGGCAGATAAAAATATAGGAGATGGAAGCTCTTTTTCTGTCTAATGTCCCAAGTATAAAGACCATTTTCTCATTTTTCAAAAATATTTTTTTTTAATTTTTACCCTATATCATGAATGGAGGTTTTATATCAGCAACTGTAGTGCTCTTTTCTCTGAGTCTCTTTGGCCTCTATTCCAGCCACTCCCCACACACCGATACCAACATCCCCAGCAGGACTCAATTCAGCTTGGGAATCAATAATAATACAAAAGGTATTTATCTTTTCCCAAAGAAATTTGCTTGCCAAATTGAAATGTCTTTTTACCTGAATATCTTTATATTTCATTATGCTGCCTTGTATGTTGGTCTTACGGTACACCTAGAGCTACCTGGCCAGTTTTTGTTACCACACAGAGATAGTCTGTCAACACAAAAAAGTAGAATTCAGAGATGGAAAAAGATTTTCCAGTTATATGAGCCATAAATTCTTGTTTTATTTGGATTTCTGTTGCTTACATGTTATAAAGCAAATTAACATAAAAATTGATGCCAGGAAATAAGGTGATACATGTGACAGAACCTAAAATGTAAAACTTATTTAGCAGAGGCAGGATGCAAGGCAGTGAAAGTCCTCTCATCCCCTAACTGGAAGTTGGCAATCCTCTTGCACACAGTAACCTATAGTCTACTGTCTTAGAACTGAGACCACCCTAATTAATGCAGCTGATGCTTTAGAAAACCTGGTATAAAAATGTCAGGATGATGGAAAGTACGGGTTACTTCAATTACAAGAAAAACAGGCTGGCAAGTTTGAAAACAAACAGGACAAGGACACAGCTAGCTACGAAGTGCTCTTTTAAACTATTACCAGAAAACCCAAAAGATTAAGAATCACATAATTATGTTTCTAGAGGGATTACAGAGTTCTTTGAACCAAGGATCAAAAGAGGAAAAGCAGGAAACACAATAGGAGATGAGACTGGGTCCTGGAAAGGAGAAGCTTGATCACTAATGACCATGTTCAACATTTATGAATATTGGATGAGTTCTTAGTTCCTACATTTGTTTAATTTAAACCTTATTTTCATTTTAAAAAAAATCTCCATTTGAACTCTATATTTCTCTAAGTGTTTGTCCTTTTCAGAACTAGGTCACTTGGATGAGTTCTTAGTTCCTACATTTGTTTAATTTAAACCTTATTTTCATTTTAAAAAAAAATCTCCATTTGAACTCTATATTTCTCTAAGTGTTTGTCCTTTTCATAACTAGGTCATACTCTCTATTCTACCTTCCAAAATTTTGACACAAAATAAAACTGTGAAACACAAACACAAATAAAACTAATGCAATTAAAAAATAAGCTACACAACAAGTGGATAGTAGAGGAGTATGAATTTAAGAATTACTCTGTCCACTTTTTTCACAATGCTCCTTGATATCCATTTGGAACACCTGTAGAAAGCAAATTAAGTTTGTCCTGGCCTCATTCAGATGTAGAAAGTTAAAATAATAAAGGTACTGTCTCAAAGCATTCCTTCTACCTATCTCTGGCCAACGCAGTCATCTCCATGGCAATGTTAAGAACAAATCTACTCCTTCTGTCCCAAGTTGAAACTTAAGATACATATTCCCATTGTTCATTGTTTCAATGGCAATTATGTATCACTGAAGTGACAATATTGAAAAACTTAAGGTATAAAATGACATAAAAACAGCCTTTTGAGAGTTAGCCTGATAATCTAGCTATCAATTATAATATCTAGTCTATAATATCAAATTCGAAAAATCTATAGAGGCCCCGCCCCTGTGCCCTGAACCAGCATCATGCAGGTGGGCATGCCAGTACCAGCCAGCAGAACCGCAGCTCCACGTGGCTCCCTCACCCCTCTCCACTATGGACCCAGGCAGATTGGGAGCTACATGCCCCACCCCCACACCATGAACTGGCACCATGCAGGTGAGCCCACCAGGGGTGGCTGGCAGCAACACTAGCCAGTGGAACCACACAGCTCCATGCAGCCCCTCATCCCGCCTTAGACTTAGGGGGGAGCACCAGGCTACAGTTCCAACCCACCGAGTTTGGCCCAGCAGAACTCCACACACTAGGGGCTCATTCTCCGACCAAAGAGACTAGAATGGGAACCAAGGTTGTTTAACATAACCACCACCACACCTACTGTCAAGCAAAGACAATTCACCCCCCACGGTGGCAACCAAGGCCACTCCACAGCCAACCTCAGTGTAATAGAAGAAGCAAACCCACTAGCAAATGACCAAACATCAGTGAAAAAAACACTAGAAGCACAAACAATCGAGAAGAAATGACACCACCAAAAGGATACAGTAATGCCCCAAAGTCAGACTCCATGGACCAGGGAATCCTTGAAATGTCTGAAAAAGAATTTCAAGCAATTAGGAAAACTTGAAGAAATAAAGGAACACTCATTTAGAGAACATGATGAAACAAGAAAAAACATCCAGAATATGAAGGAGGAAATCTACAAAGAGATTAATACTGTAAAAAAGAATGTAGCAGAACTTCTAGAAATGAAAGACTCAATGAAATAAAAAACACAACTGAGAGCTTGAGCAGCAGGA